TGACTGGTTTGTCTTTTTTTTTTTTTTTTTTAATTTATTTGTTTGTTTGTTCTTTTGGTTTTCAAGACAGGGTTTCTCTGTGTAGCCCTTTTTGTCCTGAAATTCTGTAGACCAGACTAGCCTCAAACTTAAAGCCCCTTCAGGCTCTCCCTCCCCCCCACCCCATTTTATTTTTCTTTTTATATAGGGTTCCCTGCAGTCCAGGAAGGCCTAGAACTGACTAGGTAGCCAAGGATAACCTTCCTCCCTGACCTTGCTGCTTCCATCTCCCATGTACTAGGATTGCAGGCAGGCATATGTTGCCATACTTGGCTATGTGGTGAGAGAGCTGATGCCCAGGGCTTCGTGCATGCTGGGCAAGCACTCTGACAACTCAGGTCCACCCCAGCTCCTCTCTTCTGGACTGTCTATTCTGTTCTGAAGGTCAATGAATGCCTTTTGATGGCGGTACCATGCTGCTTGAATTACTGCTGCTTTGTAATGTAGTTTGAAATGGGTGGTAGAATTGGTTTTCTTCTTTTGGCTCATGGACTGCCTTGCTTTGATATTTAAGGGCTAGAGAAGTGGCTTGGCTGTTAAGAGCACTTATTTTTCTTCCAGAGGATATTTCCTCCAGAGGATAGGATGTTTGATTCCTAACATCCACATGGTGGCTCACAAACATCTGTATCTCCGGCTCCAGGGTATGTGACAACCTCTTCTGGTCACTGCGGGTAGCAGGCATGCACGTGATGTACAGATGTACCTCGAGGCAACACGTACACGAGGAATTTTGGATTACGTTTTCTGCTTCTATGAAATATGCCGCTGAAGTTTTGATAGGGATTGCTGTGCATCTGTAGGTTGCTTTAGACAGTGTGCACAGTTCTCAACAACATTAATTCTTCCAGTATGTGAGGATGGGGGTATCTTTCCATTTATTTCTACAGAAACAGCACTTCTAATGAGTATTTACATAAAAGACAAACGAGGGATAAAAACCAACAGGAGGGTGGCACAGTGAGGTCTCTGGCACAACTGGGGACTTGTTTCTGCCCCCACCCCGTGTGTGTGTGTGTGTGTGTGTGTGTGTGTGTGTGTACGTGCGTGTATGTCCATACAGAAGCCAGAGGTTAATGAGTTAATGCCTGGTGTCTTCTTCAGTTGTCCTTCACCTCATTCTTTGAGGCAGGGTCTTGCACCGGTGCTGGAGTCCACTGATTCTGCTAGACTGGCTGCTAGCACCCCCAGGAATCTCCCACCTCTTCTCCTTGGCGCTGGGATTCCAAAGGCACAGCGCTGCACCTGGCTGGCGGTGGTGGTCCAAACCCCGGTCCTCACGCTTGCACGGTTAGCTCTTTACCCACTGAGCCTCCTCTCCATCGCCTCCCTGTAGTCTTCCATCTCTCTCTGGTGGGAAAGGCAAGGGCATGGCTTTCCAATGTCTTAAAACTTCAATGTTTTCTCATATATTATTCTAAAACAAACAGTGAGGTCATGACCAGCTTTTGTTTGTTTGTTTTTTGGTACCAGTGATTAAACACAGGACCTTGCAGCCCTGGGATTCTTCATTTAGACCTGGCTGCCCTCGAACGTGCAAGGTTCCCCTGGCTCCTTCCAAGTACTGAGATTATAGGTGAGGAACACCAGAATATTTTAAAAATTAAATTGAGTTGTGTAATAGAGTATAAAAAAAATCATAGGGCCTCACACATGGTGGAAGTATATTGTACCATGAACTGTCATGATGCTAAACTATGTATCCATTAACATATATAATTGCTCATTTACTGGACGTGTTTCTTATGTGTGTACTATATAGAAAACAGTGGTTTGCTAACAAATGCTTAATATAATGAGCTTTCCTGAAGAACATAGATAAGTATATACATATATAGATTTATTATAAATTTTCTAAAAAGTAAAAAAAATCTCTCAATATGAAGAGTAGTGTACATGATTTACCAACAATGAAATATACAACACTTTTTTGTTTTTATATTTGATTTTTCAAGACAGGGTTTCTCTGTGTAGCCTTGGCTGTCCTGGACGCCCTTTGTAGACCAGGCTGGCCTGGAACTCACAGAGATCAGCCTGCCTCTGCCTCCCTGAGTGCTGGGATCAAAGGCATGCATCACCACACCCGGTTTAGATTGTACAGAGTTACCACATGGTTTATGCCATGTTAGAACTGCGTGTTTGCCAGACAAGCACCCTACAACTGAGCTGTGGCCCCAGCTCCCACGGAACTCTTTATCGTAAATACAACTCACTGAGGCTAAGAATTTTATTGATTCTTGATGGATATTTGTTTCCTGTCGTAGAAAATTTTTAAAATGGCTGATACTGTTTGTTATTAAAGCCTGTAACCATTAGGGTGGTTTTATTTAACCTCCTACCCATATCAACAAAAGACACAGACACCTGATAGAATTTTGAGTAACCCTTATCTCAGGTAGGGCTGGGCAGGTGTAAACCCCTTAAGCCACCCTGTTACCTCCCAGCCCCTCCTCCCCATTCCATGCCATTTTTCTTAACCATTTCTGGGCTACTTCCCATCCATAATCCTAAAATTCTTGCACATGTGTCTCATCTGGGCCGTTTCTCTTCACGTGGAACCTCAGAGTTAACTCCTCCCAGCCACATGTTTCTCTCCACGCTAACCCCTGGCAGTCCTGATTTCTTGCTTTTCCTCTACCTGTCTTGTCTCCCTCCTCTCTTCCCATGATCCTCTTCTCCTCCTCAAGCCCCGGAGCCTTGGCCATGCCTACCTACCTAACTTCTGTCCTGCCTAAGTGCGTAGGCAGCTTTATTTAGCCAATCAGGTTGTAGCCCAATAAAAGCCCTCAACGACAAAATAAAACCCTTGTTTGTGGCAATTGCCAATTTCCTTGGTGTAAATACTTCCGTGGTAGCTGGTTTCAAGCTTTCTAGGGGACAGCACAGACGTGGGAAGAAAGCACAGAGATACAGCAGGCAGGCACAATGGACACCGCTAGGTTAAGCACCAGGGTGTGATGGCACGTGCCTCTAATCCTAGCACTCAAGAGGAAGGCTGAGACAGGAAGACTGCCACACGTTCAAAACCAGCCTTGTCTACATAGCAAGTTCCAGGCCGGTCAGGGCCATATAATGAGGTCCTGTCTCAAAACAGACTAACAAGAATATTAATAATATTAATATTAATATTAATAATAATAAAAACATAGTAAAATAATTACAAAGTGATGAGTTTTCAGTATTGATTTTAAGTGTTGGTTTATATAATACAGTAGCCCAGGAAGGACTCATGGTTGGGAGCCCCTGATTTTGACATCCAACTTCATAGGCTAGGAGCTTAGCTATGGGACCAAATTGAGTCACCAGCACCTCAGCTGAGATGCACTAACCTCCAGCATCCACGATTTTTAGTCAACAACACAGTTGTTTTATTCTTACATTTATTTACTCTCTCTCTCTCTCTCTCTCTCTCTCTGTGTGTGTGTGTGTTTGTGTATGTGTGTTGAGTTTATGGGAGTTGGTTCTTGCCATCCACAATGTGGGTCCCAAGGATTGAACCCAGGTTATTTGTAGCAAGTGCCCTTACCTGCTGAACCAGCTCCCTAGATTCACTTTGGTGGTGTGAATGAAAATGGCCTCCATAGGCACATGTATGTGAATGCTTAGTTCCCAGTTGGTGGAACTATTTGGGAAGGATTAGAAGGTGTGGTTTTGTTGGAAGAGGTAGGATGTTTCCTATCCATTCCCTGTTAGCTCTCTCTCTCTCTCTCTCTCTCTCTCTCTCTCTCTCTCTCTCCCTCCTCTGCCTATGGGTTGTATCTCAAGATGTGAGCTCTCAGCTACTGCTCCAGTACCATGCCTACCTGCCTGCTGCCATGTTCCCAGCCATGATGGTCAGGGACTGGCTCAGTGAAACCGTAACCCCCCTGTGGTAGTTTAAGAATGGCCCACGGGCTCATCGATTTGAATGCTTAGTCACAAAGGAGAGTGACTCTTTGAAAGGATTAGAAGGATTAGGAGTTGTGGCCTTGTTGGAGGAGGCGTGTCACTAGGAGCAGGACCGTGGCAGGCTCAGTGTCTCTCTCTCTTTCTGGCTGTGGATCAGGATGCAGCTCTCAACTCCAGCACTGCGCCTGCCATGTCTGCTGCCAAGCTGCCCCCTGGGATAATGGGCTAAACCTCTGAATCTGTAAGCAAGTCTCCAGTTAACTTCTTTTATAAGAGTGCCTCGGTCACAGAGTCTCTTCACAGCAATAGAACAGTGACTCAGGTAACCCCTGATAAACTCTTTCTTCTCTAAGTAACCTGAGTGGAGGTGGTCTGTCACAGCAATAAAAAGGTAACAGTTATTTTAAATAAAAATAAACTTATCAATTTAAAATTTAAGTTTTCGTTCCTTTGAGAGGCCGAAGCAGGAAGATTGCAGGAACTATCCCTGTGTCAAACAAACAAAACAAAACAAAACAAAACAAAAAACAAAGTAGTGCTGGGCACGGTGGCACACGCCTTTAATCCCAGCACTCCGGAGGCAAAGTGCAGGGATCCCTCTGAGTTCAAGGACAGCCTGGTGTACAGAGTGCGTTCCAAGTCAGCCTGGACTACAGAGAGAAACCCTGTCTTTTAAAGCAAAAGCAAGTAAGATTTAAATTAGGTAATTTAATTATTTTATGGAATTACTTTGCAATAAAATTTCATCTCGGAATCCTATATCGGAACCAACAGAAGGAACTCCCAAATTAGTTCTTAAAAGAGGAGCTCTCCTTTGTATTTTGCGGATAAGAAAAGCAAGCGAGAATTCCAGGCAAAGTGTGGCCTGCAGTGCTCGCAGCACGTCGCCTGGGGGCGCTCAGGTGAGAGAGGGAAGAGCGGCTCAGGTAGATGCAGACCCGCGCTCTGTAGAGGCCACTCACGGCCACTAGAGGGAGCACGCGCCCCCTAGGGGGCGGGGCTTGCGGGAATGCGCATGCGCCCGGAGGGAGGCGATGGTACCAGCCCGAGCGAAGGGCAAGACGGTGGCCGAGAGGGCACCAGGTTGACGGTGGCCGAGAAGGTCCGGCATGGAGCATCTGGAGCGCTGCGCGTGGTTTCTCCGCGGGACGCTGGTGAGGGTGGCGGTGCGGCGCTACCTGCCCTGGGCGCTGGTGGCCGCCATGCTGGCGGGCTCCCTGCTCAAGGAGCTGTCCCCGCTGCCCGAGAGCTACCTCAGCAACAAGCGCAACGTCCTTAACGTGTGAGTGACCAGGCTCCCGGTCCCCGCGTCCAAGACGCCAGATCGCTGCTGGGGGGGACGAGTCATCGGGAGGAAGCCCTGTCTTGGCAGCCGCGTTCGTGTGCGTTTCGCGACGCGGGGACCTTGGGAAAGCGAGTGACACTCGCGCCCAGCATTTGAGGATTCCGAGAGGAGGGCCGAATTGACGGGCGGGTTGTAAGTGACAGTGTGCATGGGGTGCACTGAAGCTGCTGTTTTCCCACTCCCAGAGTTAGGCGCTCGCCCCTGTCCTGTTTAGGGAGATGTCACCTCCCTCCTGCCGGCTTCTCAGACACCCCTCTCCTAACCCCTGTGACAAAAATCCCACTGTTGTTTTGAAGACCGCCTCTAGACTTACTTACCATCCTGGAGAGCCTTTCCCTCCTGGCCCTATATTGGTAGAACCATGAAACCTTTCACACTGGTGACCTTTCTCCTGGATCTCCTTGGACTTTCCTCACTCCTCTACAGTGCATGGCAGTTGCCCAGGAAAACAAGCCCAGCGGACCTCTTTGGGACGTCTGTCTAATGCCACCCACTTCTTTCCTAGTCCTTTAAAACACTTACATCGCATGTTTATTGCACAAAACAGGGAGTTTGGAAGATGAAATTGCCCATTCGGTGTAAACTTGATGCTTCAGACTGTGTCTGCAGCATGCTAAGAGAGTCTAACTCTTGGTAGCTACTTAAAGCCCTGTTTTCTCTTTTTGGCAGCTGGGTCAGGTTTCTGGCAGAGCTTGGCTTTGAGGCCTTGGCTTTGACAAGGCTTTCCTTATCAATGTCCATGAAGGTTTTAGTGACAGGCTCTTGAGTGGTGTCTGAGAAACTACTGGAACCTAGGGAAGAGGCGATCTGACCTTGGCCCACCTTCATCCTTACCCGCCCTTAGTGGCTGGGCTAACAATAGGGTGTGAGGGGGGTAGTTGCCTCAGATCTCTTTTGTGTGTGTTTTCTGCCCCTTACCCCCAAATCAGCCACCTCTTATGGGCACAGAGGCGGCAGATATGGCAGGTACTGCTTTATCGGGAGCAGCTGGACGCAACAGTCTCTGTTGTTTAGGGGTTAGCCATGGATTCTGATGTTTTGTTCCAAGACATGGTGATGGTTAATGGGAGAGAACTGGCAGTGACTCATTGGATCTGAAAGAGATTTAAAAAAAAAAAAAAAAAAAAAAAAAAAACAACCAAAAAACTGTTTGGTGCCCTCAGCTTTTCCCAGCTGAGGGAACTGAGGCCTGAAGACACAGTGATAAATAGAGTCAGAGTTGGGATTCAAACCCTGGTCTTGTAGCTTAAAGTAAAGCTCTTTCTTCTAAGACTTAGCAGCCTTGTAGGAAAGAACATTGGTGTGGTAGAAAAGGCATGGGCTTTGGGGCTAGGCAAAGTGTGGCTCAATCTGTGTTTGCTGTTGTGTGTGTGGCCTTGGCAAAGTAGTATTCTGTTTTCCTGGGCCCTCAGAGTCATGTAAAATGAGACAAATGAGGGGTGCAACTCAGTTGATAGAGTGCTTTCGTGCACAAAGGTTTGATCCCCAACACCACAAAACCTGGCTGTGGTACCTGTAACGGTGTTACTTGGGAGGTGGAGGCTGGAAGATCCATAGTTCAAGACTATCCTCAGCTACATAGGCAGTTTGAGGCCAGCCCGGGCTATACTTTAAAAAAAAAAAAAAAAAAAAAAAAAAAACCCTTCCTCCTCAGCTAGTTGTGAATGTTCTGTGGAAGTGAATCACGTGTGAACACATCTGACAGATGATCAGTTACTGTTCTCCTGAACAAATAGCACAACTGGAAAATTTCAGGCCCTGGATTTGAACCCCAGCCCTACCACTTATGACCTCCACTTTGGCATGACATGTCTATATGGCGCAGGGTCACCTTACAGAGTTACAGATTAACTAGGTTCAATACTTAGGGAATAAAGCATGTGTAAGCATGTATTAAGGACTCAAACACATTAGGTGGATGCGCAGCTTTGATTGATTTCATTTAACTTCCCTTGGGAGCTTAGGTTGCTGAAGTGTGATGGCACTGTTTCCTCTCTACCGTGTCTCTTCCTTCACCTGCACTCTCGTCCTTTGTCAGGTATTTTGTTAAAATGGCCTGGGCCTGGACAGTCTGTCTCCTCCTGCCTTTCATTGCCCTCACCAACTACCACCTGACAGGCAAGACTAGCCTGGTTCTTCGGCGGTTGAGCACTCTGCTTGTGGGCACAGCCATCTGGTATACCTGCACAGCCCTCTTCTCCAACATTGAACACTACACAGGCAGCTGCTATCAGTCCCCAGCCCTGGAGGGCATCAGACAGGAGCATCGGAGCAAACAGCAGTGCCACCGGGAAGGGGGCTTCTGGCATGGCTTTGACATCTCAGGCCACTCCTTCCTACTGACCTTCTGTGCACTCATGATTGTGGAGGAGATGGCGGTGCTGCATGAGGTGAAGACGGATCGCAGCCACCACCTCCATACTGCCATTACCACCCTGGTTGTCGCCTTGGGCTTCCTGACCTTCATCTGGGTATGGATGTTTTTGTGCACAGCTGTTTATTTCCATGACTTGACCCAGAAAGTGTTTGGCACCATGTTTGGCTTGCTGGGCTGGTACGGTACATACGGGTATTGGTACCTGAAGTCTTTCTCTCCAGGACTTCCTCCCCAGACGTCTAGTTTGACTCTGAAGCAAGATACTTACAAGAAATAAAAGAGAAAGAAATGGGGACAGGAGGACAATGGCTAATAGATGTCCCACCTACTTTGTCCAGTGACTGGCTGAATTATTGGGTCCCACTTCAGAGAGGACCCTTAGAGGATCTTTGGAATGGGGTGGAGTCTGGGAAACAAGCTTAGTCCTCAGGTTCTGCTGGTGGTGCCACCGTATCGCCAGCAGCGCCATTCCTGTCAGAGTCGCCTCATCTCTGTCAAGACATGACCTTAATCTGTTCGGAGATGGAGAGCTAAGGCTCAGCAGAGGGACAGGAGACAGCCTCATTGTGTCAAGGGGAAACCAGAGCTTCAGTTCTCCCTCTGCTGTGGTCTCTCTGGCTCTGGTTCTCCTTAGAGTTTAGTGGCCACGTTAATGCTGTTGTTTTAACAGTGTTTCCCCGTGGCTGATTCTGAGATAAGCATTCTCTCTGGCAGGTTCTTTACTAAACACCCCAATGCCTAAAAAATTCTCTGCCTGTAGTATCCATACCCTCTGTGGAGTTGACAATTGCACCTGACTGTGATCAGTTCCCAACAAGGGCCCACCACCCTGCAGTGCCTGGATGATTTTGTTGTTGTTGTTGTTGTTTTGTTTTTCAAGACAAGGTTTCTCTTTGCAGCCCTGGCTGTCCTTGACCTCACTTTGTAGACCAGGATGGCTTTAAACTCACAGCGATTCACCTGCCTCCGCCTCCTGACTGCTGGGATGAAAGGCTCAAGCCACCACTGCCCAGCACCTGGATGATTTTTATGTAGTGGACAGTAAGCTTTTTCTGTTCGCACTGTGTATTGTTATGTGTTGATTTTTGGAGCAGTAACAGAGAACCCCATTACCCCCTCTTCTTCCCTGAGTGGGTGCTGTATGGTTTTCAATCATCACTATGACATTTGTTCTTTGTTGACAATGTTCCAGTACTGCCCTTTGGTGTGTGAAAACTGTTTTGAGGGTTTTTGTTTTGTTTTTTAGAACACTAACTTTTTATAAGCCAAAATCTCAGGCTAATCATATTAAACTCCACCTCATAGGATTGTGCTCTCTGTGGTAATAAAACTGGAGCAGGGGCCATGGTGCTGCAGGCCCAGCACTAAGGAGGCAGAGGCAGAGGGAGGCAGATCTCTTAGTCTGAGGGTACCCTGCCAGGGCTGCAGAGTGAGACCCTGATTCAAAAAAAAGGGAAAGAAAATAAAAGAAAGACTAAAACTGAAATGCAGACACTTTCATTATTTGATATATTTTAAGCTGAGAGAGAAATTCTGTCAAGTGATTGTATGGAGAATTTCAGATTTGGGTTTGGGGACCTCATAGGATCATAGGACAATTACCACAGCCCAAGGGATATTTACCTTTGGAGATTATGATTATTTAGAGGTGAAGTAAAATGTCTCCTCTTGTGCAGGAAGCCAGCTGGCATGCGAAGCCGCCCATATTACGTATCATTGCCATGCAGAGTTGTCCACGTTACATAGTGGCATAGCTCAGCAGTCAAGAGCACTGACTGCTCTTCCAGAGGACCTGGGTTCAGTTCCTAGCACCCACGTGGCAGTTCACATAGTAGCATGCTTTTGGCTTGCTTCCTCATCCTCATCTCACCAACGGAACAACCTAAAAGGGGGGCATTTAATAGCCGCAACATTTTTTCTTGGCATCGCTGCCTAGTTTTCAGCCGTGTCATTACGTGGCCCTCACTGTGACTTCTAGGGAAGTCTTGCAACCCATGTCCCACACGGCAGGCTTCTAGTCTCGGATAAGAAGGCCCCTGTCCTCCCTCAGGTGATCGTCTTCAGCCTTTCACACCGGAGCCCCCGGCCTTTTGGATGAACATCCTTGAAGCTGCTTTGACGCCTCTTTCCTGGCAGAGCTGGCTAATGGCATTAACTGATAAGCTTTGGCCTGACTCAAGCTCATGTTGTTAGGCACTTAGTAAATTAAGAGTAGCTTCTTTCTTTTTATTTAATTTTATTTTTTAAATTAAATTAAATTTTTTTTTTTTTTTTTTTTTTTGAGTCAGGGTCTTACTTTACAGCCCTGGCTAGTCTGGAACTCTCTATGGACCAGGCTGGTCTCAGACTCACAGAAATCCACCTGCCTCTGTCTCTTGAGTGCTGGGATTAAAAGTATACTAAGATTAAAGCCACCACATCTGGCTATTAAGGAATTTTTAAAAATATATAAGAATCTATTTAAAAGACGTATTTTATATCCTGTTGAGCTACAGGTCAGCTTGACCAATTGCAATGTAAGATGTGAGATGCTATCACCAAAGGGGAAGAAAGGCAGGCAGTGTCACCATGATGCTTTGGTGAGTTGACAATGGACTGAAAGGGTGTTTGACCATCTGGGATTTTCCATCCATCTTCCCTGGGTTGGAGTGGGCCTGGCGAAGATGGTAGGGCTGGCTACCAGATAGCCTCTCAAGCTTCATGTCCACAGCAGAAGGGAGCAGACACAGGAGGCATCCACAGGCTCATCTGTCACATCGAATCTTTGGACGTTTTTGTCCAGTGGTCTGAGCAGGTTTAACATTAAGCTGACTAGGAGTAGAAACTTTGTGTTGCTCAGCATTTTCTGCATATGAGCTGGATTAGACTACCTGCATATTCTTGGTATGCCTCCATCTCCTCTCCCGGGGCTGGGGATGGAACCCAGGGTTTTGTGCATGTTGGACAAGCCCTCTGTCCCTGAGCTATACCCCGAGTCCCTCAGAGCCCGTGCCTTCCCTCCAGTGAGGAAGCATGGCATGGCTGAGTGTTTGGGCTTGGGCAGCCATGAGATGGAGGTTTGAAAGTTGCCGTCATTCCCAAACCACCTGACCAGTGTGCAAGCCTTGCTGCCCTTGTCTGTAAAGTGGAGGCGATTCTTTTAGTGCCTAAAGGAAAGACATGTAAGATGCTGAGCACGCGTGCTGCATGGGCTGTTTGCTCCCCACCTTTCTCTTGATGGCATTTATAGTGTTCTGGCTCCTCTAGAGGAAGCAGAGGAACCAACATCTGTTGAGGAGTCTGGCTCTCCCATTGAAGTAGTCTCCAGTCATCTTTCAAAGTGTCTGTTGTCCCTCGGTGTTAAACATGAGGCTTTGGGAGCATCTGACCAGAGTCATGCCATGCTATTTTGCTTCCCTGTGTGGAGGTTTGCTCACTAGCTTCCATGTATATCTGTCACTGTCTGGGTACCAGATTGTATTTAGAGAACGGCTCATGCCACTGTTATGTACACACAGAGCCCATGTGTAAACAAGCAAATTAAAATGCACTGGAGATAATGGAGTCCCATACTCCGGAGTGTGGTGTGTTTCTTTCTGTATTTGTTTTTAATTTAATTTTTTAACTTTAACTTTTAAATTAAATGTGTGTGTGTAGGTGTATGTGTGTGTGTGTGTGTGTGTGTGTGTGTGTGTGTGTGTGTGTGTACGAATGCATGGCACACGTGAAGATCAGAGAACAATTTGAGTGAGTTAATTTTCTCCTGTCCTGTAGGACTTTCAGGTCAAACTCAGGCAGTCAGGCTTGGCAGCAAGTGCCTTTGCCAAGGAGCTATCTTGTTGACCCTATTTTTAAAACTACTATTATTATGTGTATAATGCATGTGTTTGTACTCATGTGCCATAATCTACATGTGTAGGTCAGAGGACAACATTGGGGACCTTGGGGACCAAGCCTAGTCCTTTAGGCTTGGCAGCAGAAGCTCTTACCCGCTGAGCCATCTCACCAGCCCAGACTCGGGCCACTTTCTGATCCTTTCTTAAGTTGCTCTCATAGAAGCTATTTCATGGCTGGAGTTTCTCTGGCTGTTTCACCTACATCTTCTGTCCTAAGTACAAATATTTTTCAGCTTGCCTTACTCTTTTCTCTGTCCCTGGATCCTGAGGTCTGGATCAGCCAGGCCTAGGGGTTGTCCCCTTAGCAAAAGGGACAAGGTAGGCCTCACAGAATGCTGAAGAGCAGTGACAGTCTACTGGGCTAACGTCATTTCACAGCCCTGGAACCCTCTGCACACAAAATAGCATTTTGTGCCTTTGTACCCAGTCACTGTCAGCCTGACCTGCTTGGCACCTCTAGGCAGTGCATGTCGAAAGCCCATTGGGCCCAAGATTAGAATCTTCTCATGCTGTTTAGTCCTGTGGCAACAGCCAACTCTAAATCTTGCTACAAGCTAGGTGCGGGCAAGTCATGTTCAACTCAGGAGTTCAGACTCAGAGCAGTCCCCTTCCTAGCTAAAGCTGTGTGCCGGTGCCGGCTTATAAAGATGAATGTATGTAGAGCAGGTGAGCATTTCAGGGAAGAGAGGGAAGAGAGCCTGTGCCTCCATCAGGTGTCCTGACTGTTGGGGCAAGGTGAGGACCTCGGAACACTGAACAGAGAGCTGCTGCCCTGGGGATCCCGAAACACATTCATAGAAGACAACGTTCCTTTTGTTTTGAAAGGATGAAGAAGAATTCAAACACTCCCACAGGAAAGGGAAACGAAGGCAGGGACAGCACACTCAAGGCCATGTTCGGTAGTCCCGAGACTTCTGTTCAGAGGAGGGAGCCTCACTTTCTCATTTTCAAAAGCCCTGGAGACTGAGGAACGGTTTAGGGGGTGGTTGATGGAGCTTGTAGGCGTGGCTTGCTTTGATCCAAATGGTTCTGGGCTATTATAACACCTGGCTTGGGCAGGTTCTGCCATTCTGTGATCTTGAGCTAGTAACAGCGTCTCTAGGCCTCCGTCTCATCTGATAAGCCACGGGTAGAGGTTGCCCAGGTAACCTCGGAAACCCTGGGTTCCACTCTACTCCCCGTTTCTCTGCTTTGCTTGCTGAAGAGTTTCTCCCGAGCTCATTCCGACTTATTTTAGGAAACGACAGGAAAAGAAACCTTCGCCTGGGTCAAGTAGCAGCTGGCCTCCCAGTGAGCGACAGGGAGCAATCTTTGGGCTGCAGCTGTTTGCCGCCCACCTCTTTTTTCCTCCATGTGGACATCTGGATAAGTTCTGACCTGAGCAGTTGGGCCGCGTGGGCTTTCTCAGCACAAGGAAGTCAATCTAATTCCCAGCTTAGGCACCACTGAGAATTGTTCTAGTAACCTCTCGGGAATGTCTGGGGAGTTTTACGGTTGAACTCACAGTACAGACACTCAGGTGCTTCAGGGAAAGTGTGGCAGATTGTCACCACCTGTGCACTTATGACCTGGTAGTATTCACGCTTAAAACGTGCAGGTGGGGTTGTGCTGTGAAATACAGGAAGACTTCATGACAGCTGCCTGCAAAAATGCCAAGAACCCCGATGCTAATTAGTCACATAAACAATTGCAGTTCCTTGCTGATAATTGAACACAGCCCCCACAGCAAATGAATGATGCATGTAGTGTCGACTGTGAAGGCAGAGGGTCTGGGCTGTGTGCCCTTGGCCAGGTCAGCCTCTAAGCCTGTCTCTGGAGTTCAAGCAGGGTCAGCAGTGCTGGCTTTCACTCAGCAGGCACAGGCTGGAAGGAGAGGAGCCCCTGTGTGCTGAAATCTGCCCGGCACGGGGGACACAGCATTAAGTCAGAGGGAAGGACTTAACTTCTATGAGTGCTACCAGCTGGGCAGACAGTGGAATGTGACCCCTAAAAGTGAAGGGACCGTCCAGGGCAGAGTGTTCCTCAGTCTGGGACAAGTAACAGAGAAGATCAACTTATGGGGCCGGTGGTGGGGCACAGATATTTAGTGTTTGTTTTTCGAGACAGTCACTCAGGTTGTATCCATGGCTGGGACTCAGGGGATCTGCCTGCCTCTGCCTCTGCCTGTGCCTCTGCCTCTGCCGCCTGAGGGCTGGGATTAGAAGTGTGAACCCCCACACCTGGATAAAAAGACTTATTTGGCTCACAGTTTGACAGGTTTCAGTTCACAGCAGGCCTGGCTCTGTCACTTTAGGCTAGAGGTGAGCAGACCCTCATAGCAGCAGGAGCAGGAAGAAGAGAGACTGCTTACCTGTGGCAGTCAGGGAGCCAAGAACAGTAACACAAAAGGGCCAATGCCACCTATGGCCGTGTGTGCTTGAACACATATTTGTAATCTGAAAACTTAAAATTGGGAAGATTGGGAGTTCAGGGTCATCCTCAGATACATAACAAGCTTGCAGCCAGCCTGAGCTACATGAAACCCTGTTTTAAAACAAAGGCACATCCTCTGGGACACAACTAGGGGGTTCTTCTGGCCTCACCTTCCACAGTTCTACTACCTCCCAATGGTCTATTTCAATTTGGAGTCTGTCAACAGATTAATCTGTAGGTCAAAGCATTCGTGGTCTCTGGAATACTCCCATGGACACTGTGCTTTCCTAATCTCCCAGGCATCTCCCGGTCTGTCAGGTTGACAGTCAGGGTTAGCCATCACACTGCCCTGATGTTGTCACCTCTCAAGCAGATACAATCTGCCTAACACATTTACACTCAAAGGAGTGGGAAAGTTAGCCAGAGCACCTGGGTTCACACCCAGAGCTGGCTGTGCATGATGGTGGGCAAGTTCCTTAACCTCTCTGTGCCCTAGTTCCCACAGGGCTATGGGGGTGAATTAACACTGGAGAAGTCCTCAGAACAGGGCATAGAGCTTGGAGGTGGCACTGTATAAATGGCTTCTGGATGTATGCGGAGCCCTATGCTGCACCATGGCTGCCACTCCTGCACAGGGATGGTTTTAATTCTGATGGACTTCCGGGTAGGTTAGCTGTGCAGTCTGGGTGTGGAGGGCCACATCCCCAAAGTCTAGCTCCAGTCTGGTGGTATCTGGGTTAACTAAGGGTAGCAGAAAGCAAGGGAGCTGATTTCTGGGACAGCTAACAGGAAAGGACATTGGATCCTTGGTGTGAGCCAGGGTGAGGTAGGGCCATGTTTGAAGGTGCTGACAGCTACAGGGAGCTGATGGCGGCCTGAGGCCAACCCCTAGCAGCTTGTTTGGGGCACAGGGCTGGGAACCTTCTCTCTGCTTCTGCTCCCTGCCTTCTCTGCCAGGTTCAGCTACCCAGCGTACATACTCCAGCTCTGCCAGTCATCGTACATGCTCCTGAGATTCTGAATGCCTGGGAGGCCAGAGGGTGGGGCACCAGGGAACTGCCTGGATTAGACCTTCATGTCTAAGAGCAAAGGTATTCAGGCTCTGCCCCAACAGGCTGCAGTATCTCCCTCCATGCCTCTTGTGCTTCCCTGACTTCTGCCTGAAATTTCAGGGCACACCTGAACTGCTGGGTACCTCTGTGCTTCAGGAGCAAGGCAGTGAAAGCCGGTGGACCAGACACTGATTTTCAGCTGCTGTGATTAGACGCATAGGACCTTAGGGTAAGCAGGCAGCATTCAGAGCCTATCAGCCCCTCAGCTGTATGATCCTGGACACAACACTCAGCCTCTCTAAGCCTGCATCTCCATATGGGACAGGAATCATAATGCTTTCTGTTGCACTAGTCTTTGATTCGCCTAATGAAATCATAGATGGGTAAACATAAGCTTTAAAATGTTGGGTACCTATGAGAAACACTTTTTTGTGTGTTTGTTTTTTTGAGATGATTTCTCTGTGTAGACCAGGCTGGCTTCAATTCAGGGATTTGCCCGCCTCTGCCTCCCAAGAACCACTGCTGCTGCCCACTTAAAGACATTTATCTTTGCCTAATGAATATCTCTGTTGGAAGCCCAGATGTAATGCCCAGATGCCCCCAGTAACTCTGAAATGACTTAGTGCCATCTATATAACAAACTGCGACATTGAATAAAGCAAGTGACTGACATTTGCCATTTTTATAGGGGGACAGGGTCTCGCTATCTCTGGCTGGCCTCGAACTCACAGATATTCACCTGCCTCTGCCTCCCAAATTCTAGGATTAAAGGTGTGCATCACGGCACCCAGGTGTCCTTAACTGTTTTAGTCAAGTACCCAATGGTTATTTTTCAGTTTTTCTTTATCTGACATTTAAAAATATTTTATTTTTTTAATTATGTGTTTATGTGTGTGTTTATGCATGTGGGTGCAGTGCCTGGAGAGACCAGAACTGGGCATTCAGTACCCTGGAGCTAGAGTTACATAGGCACTGGTCACTGAACTTGGGTCCTCTTCTAAGAGTGGTATGTTTTCTCTATGCCAAGCCATCTCTAGCCCTAGTACCTGACATTTGACTGTATCATCTCACCTCTGGTTCTTTGATACCTTCTTGGACCAAGAGAAAAATAGCAAGGGCTTTAGCTCCTTACACGTGTGGCTTCATAGCTCAGCACCTTTGCTGTATAAGTAAGCTATTGCTGCACTGATGCTTGATAACAACTATCACCAA